TCAAATATGCATATACTTTAAAAAAAGTTAAATATAATAAATATTCATTGTTGGTAATAACGTCACAATTGTTTCAACTTTAGTCGATAGCATTTCTATTTCTGATCGTGAGTATTTCAAAAAAAAAACCTTTTCTTTTTTGTATTAAATATAATTATACTTAGTCTAAAACGATATTGTTGTATCTATTAAGCTACCTTTCCCTTATTCCTGGCGACGGGCTATGTTGCGTTGGGTATCTCAGTCGCAACTGGTCAGTTAAATTATAATTATCGGCATTTATGTCAAAATAAATACTATTTTAATGAAATTTTGATATTTAAAAGGCAGCACAATCGCAATATGTCCTGAAATTCGCGTTTATGTAAGTCTATTTTTACATATGTATATATAGTTTTATTAAAAATTTTAATTTTCATGAATTAACGCAAGTCTATCTTCAATAGTTTTGTTTTTATCCTTTTCTTAGGTATTTTTATTTGCACATGTCAATTTCTTTTATTTTCAATAATTTTTTCATTTATTGATCTTTTTTCAGATGCTGCAAATCGTACATATAATGTACAAGCTGAGAATAGAGATGACCATATTATCGACGCAAGAAGCGAAGCAACTATTCATGCCAAAAAGTTTTACAACCAACGTAACATGTAAGCTAGCATGTCCATTTATTTATTATTGGTTTTTGTTTAAACTTTTTGACTTATTAATAATTTCACGATTTTTTTGGATCTTTTAGGTATCTTACCGGATTCACATTGTTTTTATCTTTGTAAGCTGCTTTTTATAATAGAACTTGATTTATTTAATATTTTTCCTAATATCCTTAATATTTTATCAGAATATTAAACAGAACATATGTACTTATCGTGGATCTTCTAAAAAGCGAAGATCATCTCGAAGCCATTAAAAAGCAGGTCAGATTTTAATTAATTGTAAGTAGTATTTCTTTTGTCTCGTTTATTTCATTTAAAGATCTTTTTTCCTTCCTTTGATAGGCTGAAAGTCAGGCAAAGGAGTATACAAGAGTTAGTGAATCCGAGAAAGCTTTACAGAAAAAGGTGGAAGCTTTAATGAGTGAATTGAATGAGGAAAAGAAGGCATCGAGAGATTTTGATAATTTGAAGAAACAGGCTAGTCAGCAAAAGGAAGAATATTTGAAATTGACTGACAAGTACAATGAATTAGAGAGAAAGCATGAAAATCGGCAAGAAGATAAGAAAAATGAATAAAGTTCTACGAACTGGTTCAATTAGTACATTATGTTTGTAATTAATTATTCTGCTCAGAATTTTATGGATTTCTAAAATACAAAAATAAAAGGAATCTTAAATTGAATAAATTGAATGGATTATTTGACTAAATATATTTAATTAAATCAGTATTGTTCAATTTACAAGCAATACCTCGAAAATAAACGAAGATAATTAACAACTATTTTTTTAATATAAAACCAACAAAAGCTTATTGTGATCCCAATCTTTGTCCTCTACCCCATTTATGCGTTGATCCTTCGCCAGTAGTATTCTGATTTCTCGCTTGAAAGGCAGTTCCAAATGATGTTCTCGCCCCACTATATGAAGGTGGAAAGTATTTGTACAACCATCGTGGTGTATTTAATAACCTCGGTCCACCAGAAGCGGGGTAAAGATCCTGTAAATAATAATATATGTGTCCGGCAATTATTCCGATAGCCGTTGGCCATACATTTCCCGATTCAATGACGTTAAATGCAAGAAGAACCCAAGGAAAGTAAGCTCCCTTTAAATAAAGTAATAACAACCTAATTTATCACATCTCTTTGAAAAACGAATAAATATACATATAAGTGATGGTAAAATAAACATGTAAATTGACTAATGAATTTTTACCCAATCGTATCCAGAAGACGACACCAGGGCGAAGTTCGGGTTGATGGTCATTGTCATCGCTGCAGCATATAATTAGTAAACGATTTTGATTGGCTGTTCTGTGTAAATAAGCTGCAGAATGGCCTACATTATGTAACACATGATATAATTCTGACCAGAATTATATGCGACGGCAATGATATTGATCATCAACCCGGGGGCCGCCCTGGTGTCGTCTATACAGAATCTTATTCCACGTGATTCTTATGGTCATTATTGAAAGGACTAGAACTAGTTGTATACTTGTTTGATAACATGCCAACATTATGAATTCAATTTTCTGGAGGCTTGAATCCGACAAAGTGAAGTCATTAATCGATTTACAGATTTTCTTTTACCATCATTCATGTATACGTCACATATAAATTAGAGACTGGACTCGAGTCAACTCGTAGCTAAAAAAACATAGTCTTGACTCGAGTTAATTCGAGTTAAGACTATATTTTTTAAGCTACGAGTTGACTCGAGTCCAGTCTCTAATATAAATATATATTTTTTTTTTTTACCTTAAATCTTAACCCAAACATAAAAGTTACTATCGTATCACGAAATTCTTGTGACCATAAATATATGATAGCCATAATCAAACAATCACTAAGAAAAAGATACTCTTTATCTAATAGCCAGCCAAATATCTAAAAAAAATTAAAGTTAAAAGATAATAAAAATTCAAATGTTTGAATAGAACTGAAGTAACGTTTCATAATAATAATACACTCTAAGAAACTTGAGTTACAGAATTAAACAAATTTAATGTCATCCCATAGTTAGAACCGAAAGCTTGTAAAAAATAAAATAAACTTTTGGGCAGAATAGGGATTGATTTACAGAAATTAACTATAGAAACGGTAACAGTAAATAGTAGTCATAGATAAGGATACATGTATTAATCCTGCTTCCACTAAAAGGAAATAGACGTAGTCTGCTTTACGTCCTGCGAATCTCGAAGTCTCTAACTCTAAAGAATGTCGATACAGAAAATATATATGAAATACACCGCCTAGACTCAAAGGAATATAAAAGAAAGGCGTATAAAGTCTCCATATCTAATAACATTCGAATAAATTGAAACAATTGTGACGTTATTACCAACAATGAATATTTATTATATTTAACTTTTTTTAAAGTATATGCATATTTGA